CCATGGTGTGTGTATATTCACCCTAAAGCCAGATGTAGTGACCTGAAAGAGTTAAGCAGTGGCAGCTAATTTCGTTCTCCCAGGACATGTCCTGGATATAATTTACATGTAAAGTGACATGGTGATGAATTTACTCAAGCTGCACAATGGTCAGAATAGGCGAAGAAATTGTTTGTGAGTTTGCATTCTGGTGTTTGGTTCTCTGATGCTTCTTTTGAGTGGGTGGGGCTGTTTTGTTTCACCATGCCTCACTGGCTAGAGGGCTGTTCTGAGAAAAGACTTATTTTCTTTGGTCTGATAATATAATAATTTCTTCAAATTACCTCCTTCCTCCCATCTACAGATCTGCTGAGCCAGATGAATTAGGGCTGATTCTTTTCTGTCTCTTTATCTTGCACATACTCTGACTGATGAAGAAATCTATTTATTGTGCTTGAATGTCATTGGCCTACCCTTTCCCCGACCCAGGAGTGAGCCATCACATGGGCATCTGGTCTACCTCAGAAGGCTCTGCAGGGACACAGCCTGGCATATTATAAATTGTCTATTGGCATGTTGTCTGCTTGACAGAATAACAGAGTCAGTTCTGGATACTTGCTTTGGTTGACCACCAGATTTTGCTCTCAGTGAAAAGTCAGAATGATGTCAGTTTGACAGTGTTTGAGGGAAAAATCACTGTCACTAAGCCCAGGGGCTTGACTTTAATTGGGATTTACAAGGGTCTTTGAATGTGACTTCTGTAGGACTTCACCTGGTTCAGTGTTACAGTGTATGTTATAGTCTGGGTATAAATGTAGCTTTTTCATATAATATTTTGGAGCATTATCAAATCTAGAATTATGCTTTCAAAAATCAAAGATCAAGATGATTCCTTAGCAATGTTTTAAATATGCTAGCCTAGAAATTACACAAGTTCTTTCAAGAATTTGAACTTGACAAAAGCAAAGAAATATCTGACTTTGCAAAAATGAAGAGAAATGTTGGTTCCTTGGCACATAAGCAACATCAGTTCCTTCCTGGTCTTGTAGGGTCAGAACTCTGGGCTCCAGGGAAGCGAAACTGTGAGTGAGGGAGTAACTGCTGTGCTAGCAGGCTCTGCAGCCAGAATTAAGCAAACCTAGCATTTTCTGTTGTACTGGAATCCATTAGGTATGTTTTAAAGTTATGTTTATTTTCCTGCTTTATGGATTAGTGTTGCAAATAACTGCTTTCAGAGGTATTTCACCCAGAACTTTCTCTTATTGTCTATTCATTGTGACTTACTGCAAGATGAATATGTAATATGAGTATTTTAACATAATATTCCCTTTTGTCTATTGACCAATACTTTATGTATTTATTTCCTATTGCTTTGCAACAAACTACCACAAATTAGTGGTTAAAGAAAACACTCATTTATTATCCTCGAGTCCTACACCTTACAACTGAGCTAGCCCTCTGCTCCTGTTTACCCGGTTGATTTTCCTGTTTTCTGAATCAGCATGCCAGCTGGGCTGAGTTCCTTTCTGGAGCCTCTGAAGGAGAAGCCACATTCAAGATCATTCAGGTTGTTGGCAGAATTCAGTTCTTTGAGGACTGAGATTCCTGTTGGCTGACTGTTGGCTGGAGGTCACTCTCTCTCCCACTGGTTGTGCCCAGGTCCCTTGCCTCATGCCCTCCTTCCTCCACAATGAGAATCTTCTCCCATGGAATCCCTGTCATGCTTCAAATCTCTCTGCTTTCTGTTTCTGATTGAAAGGGCTCATGTGGTTAGGTCCACCCCACCCAGATGAGCTCCCTTTCTTAAAGCCACTGTGCCAGTAACAGGGAGCCATGGAGAGAGACCCATCACAGTCACAGCCTGGGACATTGTGTGAGCCACATAAGTGACAGTGTGGGGATCTTGGGGACATCTTGGGTTCCTGTCTTCATAGTTTCTACTGGTGCTCACAAAATAAAAAATTTGCAGGGGATACATCCTAACATATTAAGGAAAGAGAGATGCAACATGTAGTCTTGTTTTTCAGAGAGCCATTTATTGGCAGTCAATGTGGATTTCCGTGGTCAGAAGATAGTGGGTTTCACTGAGTCATCCTGTGAGTTTGTGAATGACATAGGTAGGGTGTTTTTACCTGCTTTATTTTAAATCTGTCCTGGAAGAGGTGATTCACCTTTTGGTAGCTCAAATATTCTATGGTGCAAATAATAATTAATGCCATTACAAGATAAGTCAGATTATTGCTCTGATTTTGATAGAAACATAAATGGGTTATTGTTCATAGTAATACCATCTCACCCAGATGGACTCCCTAGTTCTGCATTTGGAGTGACTGTTCTCAAAAGAACTAAACTTTGAAACATCACCAGACTGGGGCTTTGCACCACTAGAAATTAAGCAGAGTCCTGAGATATCCATGCAGGCAGCAGAGAACTAAGTCACACTCCGGGAACTTGTCCCAGCCCAGGACAGGTCTTGCTGTGTGAGGTGTATCAGCAATGAGCCATTCAGCTGGTATTTTCCCCCAGGTTTAAGTTTGGGTGAAACCTATGTACATTTTATTACTTTGATCTTTGTATCAGTTTTAAAAATAAATCACTATCTGGGAATCTCAGAAGTAAGAAGAGAAAAACAGCTGCTTCATGTATATGTATTTACAATGCCAACATGTTAGGGCACCCTAAATATGACTTATTGCCTCCCCAATAAGGCAAGTCACTAAATCTTCTTAAAGCTCCAGATTTCTCATTTTTCTACTTTGAGTACAGTTATATATGCCCTAGCATGATAGTTTATTAATCAAAATATTTTTAAAACCCACCAGATACCTGAACCCCTATAGGCTCTGAGGATACTATTGGCTGTGCTGTGACTGTCTGGGGACAAGTAGCATGTTTGGCCAACACAGCAGGTAGAACCCCTTTTCAGAGAGTTTGTGGTGCAGCCCAGATATTGGGGTGTTCGCAGTGCTGTGTGGAATGCTCATCCTGCTGTCTGCTATTGTGTGGATACTTAAAACATTTTCATTTCTTCCCATTTTTCCTGTCTTACTGCATTAAGACATCATAATTATTCTGGCAAATGAATCTGGGGAGTATCTGGTTGCTGGTGGATTTATGTAGAAGATGGCAGCATAGCAAATTAAATGTGTTGTTGTGGAGGTGAGGTTGTGTATGAGCCGAGTTTCCTGGTCAGTCCCAGAACTGTGTTTTTCAGCAAAATGAGGCTGGTGATTTCTTTCCAAAGATCAAGCTGCAGCAGTTTTCATCATGGATGTCACCCAGTCAGAAAAACTGGCAGCATTTACTCCACAGATGTCTCAGTCTTTCTCGAAGGAACATTCTCACAGTTGACACTAGTGCCGCTGATGGTCGGGGATGGTAAGGGTGACATCATTGATGAACAAAAAATCATTTTCAGGTTTACAATTTGCAACAGTTTTCTCTTTTGTTCCCCTGGCAGAAAATGGGAGCCCTTTGTTTCATTGATGCTACTTTATATGAGGCTTCCATAGCATTTTGTGAGGTGGAAAACCAAGAATGAGGGAACCAGCATGTTCATGCCAGCAGAGTGCAGGGCACGGAGGGCGGTGAGCACCCTGGGGTGTTTTCTGAACCTTGACATTGGTAAATCCTTGAATTCTGTGTTGCCATCCCATAGTCTGGAAGTTGAGCTGCTAGTCGCTTCTTCCCTGTTGAGAAGAAGCTGGTTTATGAATGCTGTGCATCCTTGAATGAACTGTGAGGATGACAGGGGAAAACTGACATTTCTCTGAAACAGTTAATTAGTTTCGCTGTGGCTTTGTAGCCACTAAATCTGATCATTATAATCTGCAGGAAAATATAAAATACAGCCTCCATCTCCCTAGGTTTTCATATCTCAATTTTTTGCTGACTGATTTAAGACAGTGATGGTGACCGAGTTCATCCCCACTGATTTCTGAGTAGCCTCCCTTCAGCAAGTAACTCCCCAAGCCGTCTTAGGTGCCCATGTTTCCCTCTGTCCTCTACTTTGGAGTGGCATTTGCGGACAGCCCGAGGCAGGTCCTGCCGGCCCGTGAGTGACCAGGAATTGAGTGAGGAGGCTGAGCAGGAGGAGGGGGCAGGGAGGAGTACAGGTCAGTGAAAAGGATTATGCAGCAACGCAAGATCAAACCCCGCCTTGTTTGTTTCCCTCTCTGCCCTGCGGAGGAGGCGGTGACCAGTGCAGCCGCGCGCGGGTCGAGCCAGGCTTGCTGCGGTTCCGGAACCAGCGCGGCCGCAGACCGCAGTGTCCGCAGTGCAGCCCGCGCTGGCCGCGCACCCAAGCGGAGCGGGCTCCGACTCCACACAGGCATGTTCCCCCAATGGGGCGCTTGAGGGCAAACCCAACAAAAGCTTTTCTGTCTCCAACCTGCCTGCCTGTCCCCTCTATAGAGCTGCTAGACTTAACACAGCCTGTGGGGCCCGGGCTGGGCCTCAGCATGGTTAAACCGGCTTTCCCTGCTGTTCGTTCTGTGCAAAGACCCTGATGGGCCCCTTGACTTCTCACTAAAGCGGCTACACAGGCACTTACTGCGGCTTTGGTTCCACATCACCCAAGTGAAGTGAATATTACAGTAGAGAGTCATGTGAATTTTTTGGTTTCCTAGTGCACATCCAAGTTGTGTGTGCATTGTGCTGTAGTCTGCTAAGTGAGCAACAGCATCGTGTCTGAATACACCATCCAGGCCTCAATTAAATGTGACCCAGAAACAGGAAGTTGAGCACGTGCTGCTGGAACAGTGGTGCTGGTAGGCTGGTAGACTTGCTCTGTGCTAGGGGACCATGAACCTGCAGTTTGCAAAAACGTGTACACTAAAGTGAAGCGCAGTAAAACGAGGGATGGGTGTAAATGCCATCATCTTAGGGTCCCACGTGAAACAGCTCCTACAATACTTCTTTCAGTTGCATGGAAATATTTAAGAATTAACTAATCAGTTAACATCCTCCCCAGGAGCCCTCTGCTTTGCCATAGTAACAAAGGCTTTTTTGTGATTTTGCAGCCTCGACAGCCCAACCCTGACTGGCGTTACTCTGCCTCCCTGAGAGCTGGAATGCACAGGTATGTACCCCTCTTCTTTGAGGCTGAAGCAACTTGAACTTTGTGTGGCTCAAATAGAGCAAACTGTCAAGACTGAGCTTCAGCTCCTTTGCCAGGGGAGGACATTTATTTTTGTCTGTGTCTGTTCCTTGAAACACTGGGAATGGACAGTGCCAAATGCTTATCAAGCACTTGCAAATTAGAGTCCCCCTAAAATCACTAGGACAGGCTGCTCTGTACTCTCTTATCCAAATGTCTATAAGGAAGTAATTCCAGCATCCTTTATCCCCTTTCCACCTGAATTTTCTGTCCTCTTAAAAACTGTAATTAATACTGATGCTTTTTATACAAGCAAAATACAGCATGAATAAATCTTGGATTTAGTGAAAGAATTTCATGGTTACCAGAGGGAAGGGGGGAGAAGGAGGAAGAGAATTAGGGGGCGAGCCAGATGGAGTATTGGCACAGATGGTTTGTGGGGGGTGGATCATGTGCACACATGGAAGAGCAAAACTGTAACCCCCAAGATTAAAAGAAAAATATTGATGCTTTTGGACTTGACTGCGTTGAGTGGTGGTTGTACTCACGCTGTCTACCTTGGCTTCCTGTCCCATGTTGCCTGTTATAGCCCGTCAGCCACAGTAATTGGTGATTATTCTTGTTCATGTTCACCCCCATTAGAATCACTTGATCTTTTCCATCTTGTTGCTATCTTATTGCCATCAAGGGCCTGGGCTCTTCAGAGGATGACCCTGTGTTAAGGCCCCTTATTGAATATCTGGAGACCAAATCTAGCTTACTTTAAATTAACCTAAAATAATAGCATTTCTCTAAGACTCAGATTAAATATAATTTGCTTCCCCTGCTTTGTCTCTTTGACAGTAATTGATTAACTATCATTAGCCCCAGAGCTGATCTAGCATCCATGTCATAGGGTCAAATAAAAGATTCATTATTTGTGAGTGTCTTTGGACATGAAATAAGGAGGACCAGAAAACTAATGATCATTATCACCAAAAGGACTTAATCTTAAAGAAGAAATAAAATCCAAACTTAACCCCCACAAAATACCTGGGCAACTGTTAAGTAGCTCTTCACTAAACCCAGATTACTTTCTAATGAGCATACTTTCAAAGTACATGTTGAGTTAATGAAAAATTAGTTCTAACCCATTAAAAATGCATTCGATGAAAATAAATTAATATTCTCAAGCATTACATTATAAATTGAGCAGAAATTATATCGGGTGTGCTTTCTGAAAGAGAAGCAATAGTTTAAAGAATGAAGATTAGTAGTTGGCTTGCTGACATATTGGAACCTGAATCATAATTTCAGGCTGAAACACTCGTGTGGAGGCCAGAATACTCTTTGTGGGAAGGAATTCTACATATGTGTTAGAGACCAGCGTAGGCTTTCACCCTTATCTGAGCTGGCTCATAGAGCCACTCGGTAGGAATAAACCTGGTTTACAAACCAGGTTTCCTTCCCAGTTGAATTAGTGCTTTACTGGAAAAGTGTCAAAACATCTGAAAAAACTACAGTGAAGTAAAACACTAAAAAAATCACCCCTTTTACCCATTAAAAAAAAATCTAATGAGTACATAGACATGCAAGCATTGGACATGTAGGAAACACACATCCTTCTCTCACACATGCCTGGTTTCCTGGCCTTTCCAGTCTGGGACATCACGGAACTCTTCCTTAGAAAATTCTGCTTTGAGCTGAACTGGTTCCAAGGTAGTGTCACTTTCACAGTGATCCAGACTGAACCATATCACTTGCTGGTAGGATCCAGGAACACCTCGAAGATATTAATATTTGGGGGAAAAAAAGAATATTCTGAGGTGGAGGGGAGAACAGCAACAGGGCAGAGCATAGTGTGTGATTTTCCTCTAGAGACGTTGTTTGAAGGTCGAGAGTGAGAGACGGCCTTCCCACAGTAGTTCAAGATGGCAGTGTGTTATCTCAGTAGGTTAATTTGCAAGATGAACCGATGTCTAGTTTAAAAGGGTCCTCATTTTGGCGAAGGCTCTCATGCTTATTTACTCTGAGGGCCCCATTTACTCCTCCCTCCATCCATCCACCAAATACTTGAGGCTCTAGTATGTATGTGCACTAGCTGTGTAGAAATGAACGTGATGCCTGCACTCTGAACATTGCATGTTTTCTGTCTCTGCTTACTAAGAAGGGGCTACCTGGCCATGCTGATATAATCGTTTCTGAGATGGGCTTGGTGGGTGGGTGGGTAGAAGGTCTCCCTCGTCCCAGAAAAAGCCTGGTGCACCACCTATGAGTAAAAGATAGAGAGAGAAACAGAAAATACAGTTAGGAATTAATTGGGTATTCAAGCTGGAATAATACTACAGTTAGCACAAATAATTCCAGTGTGTTTCCCTCTTTGCTATACAGAAGCCAGAAATGAGAGAGCCAGCAGGAGAGGCTTGGGCCTTTGAGCACAAGCTCTGCTCCTCTGCTTCAGCAGTAAGATGTTAAAATGGCATCAGCCCTCTGATGGGCTTCCCGTTAGATTTAGTGAGCACCAGATGACATTAATGAAAACCAAAATTGCCAGAGAGATAAAACATGTTTATTGTCTGAGTGGCGCAGCGGGCAGCAAGTCAGCAGTGCTTTGGCGGTTCACGCCAGGTCACTGCTCAGCAGAAATGTCTGCAGCGCCAGCGCTATGGAGGGTAAGCCGCGGCCCTTCCTCCGGAGCCGTGAGCACTGCATGAGGGTGGGAGGAAACCTGGAAGGCATTTCTGTCTCACTGCATCCTGGGTCCTGTGTTTCTCAGCTCCGTGCACCTGGAGGAGGCTGGCATTCTGCGGGCTGGCCCTGGAGGGCCTGATCAGCAGTGGCCAACGGTATCCAGTGCGACACCAGGTAAGGAGCAGTGTTTCTACCTTCCTGCTCGGGTTCTGCAAAGCAATCAGATGGCCTGTTTTTCTAAGACCAGTAATATTAACAAGACACTTTTTTTTTTCTTCATTTCTCTTCTGACCGCCACTGACGTCCTTACATGATGTCCTACTTAACATCCTTCAAGGGTTGAAAAGATAATGGATGGGTGTGTGCAAAGTTGTCGTCACAAGTAGCAAGGTACCTTTCAAATGCTTAGTCTGTGGCCTCGTGGGCTGAGATGACACTGTTAGCAAAGGCCTTTGGGTTGAAGACGATGGCGAGAGCCATTCACGTCCTAAGCATAAGGGAGACAGGTAATAGGTAGATTGGTAGGAAAAAGCGAAGAGGTTTCTCATGGAAGTGGCCAGTTATCGGAATCGCCCTTTTTTACTTCAAGTCAGAGTCAGAGCCATTTCTTTCACTGCTGTGCAGGCTCGCTGTTAGCCGAACCGTCTGCCTCATGGTTCCTGGCTTGGGACCGGTGGGGTCCAATTCCTAATCTAAGCTTTGGGAAAAGACACTCTAACAGGCTGGATCAAAACCTCAGTGGCTGCATACACATAGGATAATTGTTTTCATTTTAATTTCCTCTTTTTTTAAAATTTGTTTTTGCATAGAAGAACTGGGGTGTAGGCCAGAGGTACAGGGGATGAGAGGATTCACCAGAGACAGAGTGGGGAACGGAATAGGCAAAATGACTGAAATACACTGCTGAGGGGAGCAGCAGGCAAGACAGGAGAGGTCTGCTGCGCCATGTGGGTCAGCTCCCTCGCTGGGGATCGAACTCAGACTGTCGTGGTAGTAGCGGTGACACTTAACCTGTAGGCCACCAGGGAGGCACCCAGTTTCATATGATGAAATCACATGGCCCCCAGGGTCATGTGATGAAGATACGGCTTTGGAGGCTCATCCCTGTGGCATTTTTCAGAAACAGCGGGAGATGGGTCACAGAGACTACAGCTGGTGCCTGCCACAGCCCACTATATCATGTGATGATAGTTAATAATTACTGAGCCGTAATATACCCAGACACTGTGCCAAGTACATTACATGTGTTACCTCATTTATTCCTCATGACAATATTGCAAGAGATTTATCTATTTTTACATATGAGAAACTGCAGACAGAGAGGTTAAGAAACATCCCCAAAGTCATGGAGCTAATAAATGGCAGGGGTAAAAATTCAAACCCATGTGTGTCTAGCTCCAAGTCCAAGCACATCTAGCACTTACGTGTATAGCATGGCCAGTTTGCAAGAATCCATTCAAATTCAGATCCACACATACATAGATAACAGATGACATAAGTGTGTGTGTAAAAAGTTCCTTCCAAAAATAATGAGGTGCCTTTCAAATGCTTCGGCTGTCCTAGCAACATGTGCAGCTAAGGGCCCAGTTTTCCTGGCAACTCTAAGGGCTTTCATTGATTCTAATCAGCCAGCATTTGCTATTTATGAATGTTGCTTAATTCAAGTAAAAGTCACAGTTGTTGGGGGGAAAAAGCACACATTAAAGCAATTCATTAGAGAGCTAATATTGCCAGATGGCAAGGGGAGGAACATGAAATAGTTCATTGACAAATCCACAACCCCAGTGCCAACGATGGAGTGAAGAAGTGATGGAGGAGGAGATGGGTCTGGACTGCCAAGGACTGCGGGGTAGTGGGGGGCGTCTAGAAAGGTGAGGACCACTCACTCAAAGCAGCTACGTGAAGTCTTGCCCTGGAGCCTGACTTCCTTTCAGGGATTTTCTTGTTCTCATAGAGGCCCTGTAGCCCAGTCTGGTGAAACAAGAACTAACTTTGAATAATTCTTTCTTTCCTTGATGCTGGTTGGCGCATGTTCTTAGGCAAATGTGAGACAGAACTGGCTGTGGTGATGTCATCTGCCCCTGCCCAGGTCTCTCCATCAGATTCAGATGACTGGTAGGAGGCACTTGGGGAGAGAGCCCCTGTCATCCCCTCCCCCACGGGCCCTCCTCTCTTGGGTGGTCCTTCGGGTGCAGGACTGTGTCTGGCTGCTGACTTGGGGCTCATAGTCCTTTTGGCCTGAGCCAGGTGTTCCCTGGGGTGACCGCGCCATACTTTTCAGCATAATTCCACCCCGGTGATAGGAAGTTAAAGAAATTCCTCTCTGCCCCCTGCTCTGTCCTTTTGGCAATCTTAGGGTTTAGGACTCAAAATGTGTTCTGCATTTTGTGGAGGGAATATGGTGTAAAGATTAAGATGATGATTGGATGGAGTCAGATCTCAGTGGGTTACTAATCCCAAACTTGCCCGGTGAGCGCAAGCGAATTGTTGAAATTCATGTTTTCTTTCTTTTTTAAAAATTTATTTATTTATGCACACAAGAGCTGGGGTGTTGGCTGGGATAGGGGGTGTGTGTGTGAAAGAGGATTCACCAGAGACAGTGAGGAGCAGAACAGGTGGATCTACTGAAACACACTGCTGAGGGGAGCAGCAGGCGAGACAGGAGAGGTCTGCTGTGCCATGTGGGTAGATTCCTAGCCAGGGATGGAACTAGTGCTGAAGTGGCTGTGGATAGTTTCATAGTGCTGAAACTTAACCCCTTGTTCCATCGGGGATGCCTCTAAATTCATGTTTTCCTTTTTTTTTCTTTTAAAGATTTATTATTTATGCATACAAGAGCTGGGGCACAGGCCAGAGATGCAGGGGGTGACAGGATTCACCAGAGACAGAGTGGGGAGCAGAACAGGAAGACTGACTGAAATGCACTGCTGAGGGTAGCAGCGGGCAAGTCAGGAGAGTCTGCTTCGCCATCTGGGTTGCTCCCTGGCCGGCCAGGGATCGAACTCTGTGCTGCAGAGGCTGCGGACTGCTTCATAGTGTGGTGCTTAACCCTTTGCACCACCAGGGAGGCCCATAAATTCATGTTTTCTTAACAGCTAACTGTAAATTGGTACAGTGATAATAAGGCCTATCTCGTTAAGTTGCCATGAGAACTAAGAAAGAAGAGCTGAATGCTGGCTTGACATACAGGATTAATAATATCTAGTCTTGCTTGTTTGTGGGACACTTTGGTGTAATCTGTAATACATCTTTGCTGATAATATGGAGCTCAGAATTCAGTGGCTCCCGTTTCTAGGCCCAGGTTTAGGGTTTTGGAGGTTTTGCAGATCAGCCTGGCATCTTCACAGTCCAGTCAGCTCAGCTGCCCACTGGAGGTTTAGAACAGGAGGGTTTATTAGTTCTCCCTGAAGAAAAGGAAAATGTATCCCAAGCAACCCAGTCCCAAGTAGAGTCTGCCTTACTGATGCTCTCATCCTGAGTGCTCCCTGATGGAGGTGCAGTTGCTTCCAGAAGGCTCCTCCTGTGCCCACTCCTCCTGTGTCTCTTGACACCCGAGTCCCTCCCCACAACCAGCTCCTTCTCAGACCAACGCTGCCGGCCGCAGGTGGCAGGTAGGGACCTATGGAGCCTCCTTCACATGTGTTCCTTGCAGTTGTTTTTCCTCCATGGATGAATTCTTCGGCTTTCACACTATACTCTTCATTCATTTTCACAAAAGCTTAGGATAAGAAGCCATGCTTTGAAGGGAGTGATGACATATTACAGGGGATGCTTCCAGCACCACCACAAGTAAGTCAGTCACTGAGTCGGTTCATCCTGATGGCTGGGCTCTTTGTCCAGCTTCCTCCTGCCCTGTGAGAGCAAACCCAAAGTACAGGGGCCTTAGCAGCTTCCGGTGAGACTGAGCAGCAAAGGAAAATGAGCTGACCAGGGAATGTGGCACAGCCACAGCTGCTGATTGGGGGGCAGGGGGCGGAGGGCATGAAGGGCCAGTCCTTCATGTGGGTGACACTGACGTTCTCTATGTGAATGCTCTGGAGAGGATTTAACAAGTGCCCTCCTGGGGCCAGTTCCTAGAGGGAACCCCAAGAGGTTCTAGAGACTGCCCTGCCTTCCAAGGAGTTGGCTTGGCTCCAGGGTGCCAGGCTACTGTGTTGTCTCCTACTGGTTTTTCCAGGTTCCTCATGGGATGTCGGGACTTAGCTAAGGTGACACCGGTTATTTTTGGAGTGAGAGATACTCACTGTTTACAAAAGAATTCTGGCGATTCCGAAATGCACAGCCTTGTGAAAGGTAAGGTTGTAACTTGTCAAGCAGGACCCCAGGGGATCCAGGACTAAAGGGTGAAGGATCATTTAGGTAGGTGAGGCAACCAAGGCTGTGAGACTTGGGGCAAGAGGCTTCCTGTGGAGGCCAGACAGTGGTTCTCAAAGTGCAGTTTCCTGGAGCAGCAGCACCAACTGTACCTGTCGAATCAGAAAGTCTTAGGTGGGGCCCAGTGATCTGTGTTTTAAAAAGCTCCTCCATGTGTCCCTGTTGTACCTAAAGTTCAACAACTGGTCTAGAGTGGAGAGTAAATATTCCTGAGATCTGCTGTTGTTGATGGCTCAAAAACCATATTGGGAAGGCAGTTGCTTCCCCGGCCTTGCTGCTCAGCAGCGCTGATGGCTGTGACCTCAGGTGTGGGGCAGAGCACCCCTCCCATGAATTCGGGCTCTGCCACACTGCAGTTCCACATCCAGGGGATGTTGCTTACCTTTTCACACTACCTGTTTCTTTCTCTGTAAACTGGAGATAACAGTAGCTTCTGCCTCCAGGGCTGTAGCAAGAATTAATTGAGACAATCTACACCTTGCAGAGCGTGAGAATAGTGTTTAGTGAGGGGGAACTAGTATGATTTTTCAAGGTATGAATTTATCCCTCACCTTCAGAATGTAGGCCTGAGATGTTCTGTGTAGTCTCTGTGGGGAGGCTTTATTATAGAGAAGATTTTTTTTTAAAGTGCTGTCTTTTTGTGTCCTTAGGGGGTTCTTTTGCCCTGGGTCACCACGCCCCCTCACTCTGGAAAACAGATGCAGTTTCTGTGCCCTGGTTTTATAGGGGGATTCGTGGTCATATTTGAGTTGGGATTTCTTACCTCTGACAAAATCAACTCCCTGAGGAGGGCCTGATCT